TCGAGCCTGCATCAGGCTCCCTGCTCAGTGGGAAGCCTGCTTCTCCCTCTCCCACTCCCCCTGCTTGTGTTCCCTCTCTTGCTGTCTCTCTGTCAAATAAAAAAAAAAAAAAAAGAGAGAGAGAGAGAGGTATCTGGGTATGTACCTCCTGATGAAAGCTCACACCACCCAGGACTTCCTGTCCCCCACCAAGTCTCTAGATCTAACTACCAACTTAGAGGAAATACCAGGGACAGAACCTGATAAACAACACAATGTGAATGCAATCAGCAAAATCAGAATGTGGGAAACTCTCTATAAAAAGTAACCAGTTTTTCTCACGAATCAGCAAGGAAAAAAATTAGGAAAGGGAAATTATAAATTAAAAGAGACTTCAAAGATGTCAACCAAGTGCAACATCTTGTTTTGGGTCCTGGGAAAACCAGGGAAACCTGAACAATAGTTAGATTTTTTATAATAAAGTGTAATAATGATAATGTGGTTATGTCATTATAAAGAGTTTATAGGGTTCAATTCCACCTACTTTTGAATTTGTTTGAAATTTTCCATGATAAAAGTTAGGGAAAAAATTTCTATAACCACATCAAGAACTTGAGTTATAAAAAGAAAGTTCACAGTATTTCAAATTCTTGCCATGTGACAGGCCTTACAATATATAGTTTATACTAGAGAATTTTTAAAATAGGCCAATTAAATTTATAAGTAAAATGAGTCTCAGTTGCTATTTTTGTTTTTCTGTAAATTTCTAAAGATTTCTCCTTTAATAAGGTATAAAATTATCTTAAAATCCCCTTTCCCCAAATACCTTGGTTCCTTCTCTGATTTTGTCTTTCAAGGATTCTTTCCCTTAGACTTATTTTCTCAAATCAAATTCCCAGTAAAATACAGCATGAACAGAAAAGGATCCAACTTGAGTGGCTAGTCCAACACCATGCCCATGGTCTTCCTGATTCCATAGTTCAGGGTCATAAAAAATGAAGACTTTAATGTATAAACTATCAAAGAATAATCTAATAAACAACTGTTTTTGTAAAGAAAGAGCCATCACTGAGTGAAGCTTTGTAGAGAAGATAGAGGAATAGGTTGTATAAAATCACTAATACAAATTAGCTGTGCTGAAGACAACATCCGAACACAAAAAGGAAAGGTGGCTAAGTGCATTGAATAAATATACATGTATATTCTATTTCAAAGTAAAGAGATTAAAATGAAATATGTCATTCCTGCAAAAAATACAGACATAAAGAGCAATACAACATAATAATCCAGAAATAGATCCTGATGCACTGAGGAATTCAGTGTATTAGAAAGGTGGAATTTCAAATTGATAGCACAACTGGGTAGCTATCTGGAAAAAAAAATTTTTTTTTTATTCCTACCCCATTTATTATACAAAAATAAATTCCAGATAGTTCAAGATCTAAATATAAAAAATAAATCACATAAGCATGTAAGCATGTAAGAAAAATCTCGAGAAGTCCTTTCTTAGGAAGACACAAAACCTATAAGCTGTAAAGAAAAACTACGTATAAATTTGACAATGTAGATAACAGTACAAAATTACCTATAACTTCTTAAAGGTGATAGCAATAACCACCAAGCAAAACTGAAAAACTCTGTCAGCATACCTGTAAAAAGTGTGCCAGGACCATGTTCATATACATGTCTTCTTCCTCTCTACCGCTGCCCATAAAACAGAGGTGCTCCCCACCAGCAATGGAGCCGGACTCGATGGACTGCTTCTGTGCTTCCAGCAAAGATTTTACTGATTGTGCAAACTCAGATGGATTCTGGAGCATCTAGACAATTTTTTAAAAACTAAAAATGTGGCAAAATGGTATTGGACATACATTTCCAAATCTGAAATATTCTTCCAGGAAAAAAAATTTAAATAGCTACCATAAATGACAAAGGAATAAAGGCTCTTATAAACAAAATTGCTGGGATAAGAGAAAAGAAATGTATATAAATGTACCCATAATACACTAGAACAAAAGTTGAAGATTCACAGAAAGATTAAATATGCATAGAAAATATTCTAAGAAAAAAATGTTTTGTTGTTTCTTAAACAAGCTATGGTGTCATTAGGTATCATGACAAGAAAAGTTTAACACTGAGTAGAAGGGTCCATAAGTAAAAACAATACATTAAAACAAGGTGTATTTTTTAGTTTCCACTTATATGGCAAACAATATATTTTTTAGAAGACAGAAATAGGAGAAGCCATTTTTATCAGCACTACTCCAGGTACTAGAGATAAAAGGATGAAAAATGTTAATTTCTTTCCCTCAAGGAAACAGATATGCCAATAACTACAAAAATCTGTTAAAACTCTTATAATAGGGCTACATAAAAAGCATAGTGAAAATCCAACAGAAAAATGGACAAAGAAAAGCAATTCGTAAATCAAAATACAAATAAACAGTACACTTACAAAAAGATGCTCAACATCACTTATAATTACCACTGTTTTTCACCCATCATTCTTATAAAATAAAAAATAATTGGCAATGTGCTATAATGCAACAGTATGAAACACTCTTATCTACAGCAAAGTGTAAGCTGGTTCTGTCTCTTTAAAGGATAATAAGGCATTTCTAGTAATGTTTTACATACTCACATCCTTCAAACCAACGGTTCTACTTTTAGAAGCCTCTTTTACAGAAATATTTGCACAAGTTCACAAAACTTGTATAAGGATCTAACTGCAGCATTGTTTACTACAAGAAAAGTGAAAATAACCCAAATGTACATCAACTGGGCAATAAATTATGGTGTATCTGTACCATGGTTCACTATACAGTCATTGCCTGGCTGGCTCAGTCAGAGCATGCAACTCTTAATCGTGGGGTCGGGAATTTGAGCCCCATGTTGGGCGTAGAATAAAAATAAATACATAGATAAAATGTGGGGATACTAAAAAAGAGAATGTACTTAAAAGGAAAGATCTCTAAGAAACAGTTTGCTGAAAAAGCAAGTGAACTGTTAAGTGAAAAATTTAGTGAAAAAAGTAAACAAGAAATACATAACTATACATTAAAAGGTCTGGAAGATTAAACAAGCTGGTAATAACTCTGGAGATACTCTTTTGAGTTTTTGAAGAAAAAAATCAAATATTCATGAATCACTTGAGCAAATTTTTAAATAAGCATAAAAGAAGGACCATCTAACCCCCCCTAGACAAGTCAAAAATGAGAAAGGCTCAGGGTTCACTTTCAGGATGCAAACAAGCTTGATCACCTTCCTTACTTAAAACACCCAAAACTGTCTGAGTTTTACGTAAGTTTTACGTAAGTTTCCTCTCAACACCACCTAAACCCCTCAGTATCACCTTCTCAGGCCTCAGCGTCACCTTTTTCAGATGAGATGGGAAGAAGGGCAGATCACACAGTCAGCAAAAAGGGTTACACCTCTTTCTGTCTTCACCATCCATGAGACTCTTATAACCCAGAATGGTTTAAATGATGTCTATCCCACTCTAAGTATTTTTGACAATAATTATTTACTTCATCTACTCTTTTAATTAAAGTGACCCTTAGATAGCAATTTTAACAAGTGAGCACCGATATGCCAGATACTACTCTTATTAAATATTAGTTTATTACATGCATAAGTACTCATGATTTAAAAAAGGCTTATAGTAAAAAGTTTTAGAACAATTACCCAATTATAGTAAGAGCTTATATTTATAGAGTACTTACTAGATGCAAGGCACTATGCTAAGTGCTACATCAGACAACTCACAGTAAGAAGTTTAGAATTTACTGACATAACAATGGTAGGCAATAGTAAGCCACAGTTAACTGTTTGCATCTATCCTTTATCATACTTAAAGAGTGTCCTGGTGAAAAGGAAACCTGAAAACAATACTTTTGTTATAAGGGCAGAGACCCCTCCTTAAGCAGAAAGAAAATGTACCAATCTGGTACATGTATATTTATTTATGAACTAAAGAAAAAAAAAAAACCTTTTTATTCTCTTACTTTATAAAAAATTTTAACTAGCATTTATACTAACCAGATCTGAATCTAAGTGGAAAGCAGTTGATAAATGCCCAGCATTATACTGTTCTGCAGGACGGCAATCCACCACAAAGAACCGGACTCCTTCCTAAGAGGAAAACAACATCTGAGATACTGGAATTTGCCATGAGGGTCACACTTCACACAATATAATATTACAATTAGCCAAAGGAGAGGGAACAGATTTATTAAAAACAAAAACAAAAAAAACCAACAAAAAACAGATCTTACAGAATTAGGAGGACCAATTAGAAGAGATGCAAGAAAATAACCTCAAGATCTTAAATAACTATATTCATTTTCAACAGTTAAAACACTTTATATATACTGTTCTTGACTAGAAAGTCTTAAAATATGTAGCAGGAGAATGTCAGTTTGAGCTATAAAACTATGTTGGAATTTAAAATTTTAATGTGTATCATGTTAAATATATATTTAAAAACTACATAGTTATAAACACAGATCTAGATACAGTTACTATTTCTGCAAATAAGTCCACAAGTTGCCAGCAATTCAATACATATAGGAACTAAACATCTTGGGATGAGAGGAAGTTCTGCAAAGCCAGTCTGAGCTGAAGAAATTCACATGAGGATCTTTAAACTGGGTTACAGCTTTTCATTTGTTTTTTTAATACTAGTTCTAATAAGGGGCGCCTGGGTGGCTCAGTCAGTTAAGCGTCTGCCTTCAGCTCAGGTCATGATCTCCGGGTCCTGGGATCGGGCCCCACGTCGGGCTCCTTGCTCAGCGGGGAGTCTGCTTCTCCCTCTGTCCCTCCCCAGCTCATGCTCACTTTCTCTCTCTCAAATAAATAAATAAAATCTTTAAAAAAAAAAAACAAAAAACTAGTTCTAATAAGAAAAATATGTGAAATGTTTGTTTTAAAAATATTATAAAACACCTGTCTTTCCATGCCCATACTTCTTCCCTCCATCTTGGAAATACACCCCACCTTCCAAATACACATATCCATGTTAACTCTTCCACTAATAGTAATAAAGAACATATACTGAAAACACTGGCTCACTAGATTTTTATGAAGATAGCAGTAGACAGAAAATTATGGTATATCCTCAATTCTCCTTTGTTATATGCTCTATGGCATCAGACCACCTAATTCAATTAGCTGTATAATTACCCAGAATTTAACTATTAAACGCTAAATTCACCATTTTAAGTACTTTATACAATACTCAGTTGTTTTGTTAAAAAATGAAATAAGATTTGGCAATTTACAAAAATAGTTGTCAAGAATAATTATTGACAACTAAAATAACACACAAGCTGGCAACACATTAATCATTCAAAAAAGCAACAGTTACATTGTTGCAGTAAATTAATTTTGTGGGAATCCACAAACAGGGAGGAAATGTTGGTTCCTTGCATTTAAAAGGGGCATTCCTCTGACAACTGTGGGTTTTCTTTATTTACCCCTTGAAGCTGATTTGCTTGAAGGATCTCTGACACCGAGATGGCCAGACAAAGAGCCTGACTCAGATCTGCATCATCATCCTTGATTCCCAACAAAGTACTACCAAATAGATGGTGATTATCCTGTTTGAAGAGAAATTTTTAAAACATCACAAAGAAAAACAAAATTAATCTTTCTTCCAAAAAATATTCTTAATAAACCATGATGAAAGGTAAAATAATTACATAACACTCTTGAGTCATGTGACTTTTAAAACTTAATATTATATCATCTCAAATATTGCAGGCCAAAGGCGACAAAAAGGCTATATACAAAGTCCTTGTCACAGTTCACACAAGGTAAGACTGTGAAAAAATAAAACATTCTACACAGCTATTTTCTATATCACCTGTAGTTAAATATTAAACTTTAAAAATGGTTATAACTTTTCATATTTTAACATAATAAAAACAAAAGGCAAAAATTATGTAATACACTGATCTACAGCCTGATTTAATTAGCAACTGCTAGTGCAGATTATTTACTATGTCTGAAGAATAAAAGCTGTTCCTCTTAAAAGACTGAAAGACTTCTTTTTCATCCAGCATCCTAAACCACAACCCCATCATCTGACTTGTTTGACATTGTTAGGAACTGAGGTGGTCTACATAAGGCAATTATTAAAATAGCTGAAATTAGTCCCTAGAAATGAATCTCTTTTTTAATTAATTAGTTTCAGGGGAAATGTTTTTAAAAGGTTTCTCTTGTCTGCCTTCTGAAACGTATTACACTGAACATAATTTAACCTCATCTTGATGTTTCAGTGACATGACCACCAACAAGCAATCATTATGGTAGAACGCCTAAAAAAAAACGAATAAAAGACTATAATGCTCTCACGGGCACCTGAGGTCACAGACAAACCCATTTACTTTATAAATGGTACTTCTGTGCCTCCTCCACTATTAGCTTTTGCTTCTCGGAGTTTTACTTTCTAGGAACTCACACCACTCATGTTTCTAATCTGGTGTCCTTTCACTTGAAAGCACTTGAGAAAGGTTCTAAGTCTCTGTGCAGCTAAGGGACCCTTTTTTGTTCATGAGACAGCTCTGCATCACTAAAATTGCACAAAGCTGAACTCCAGATAAAGGAGGCATAATTATACATCCTCCATCAGATTTTTGAAATTTTTAAAGTCAAGAAAGCACTAACTTAAGAAATATCTCAATTTTCTCATGATCAGAAGTAACTAATAGAGTAGAAATGAAATAGTTCCTAGCATATCTGTATACTATCTTTTTAAATTTGTCTGTTCCTCTAGTAGGGAGAGTATTTACAGTGAAAAATCACATAAAACTGCAACACATAAAAAGAAAGAAAAGAGTGACAACCTAGAGTATTTTAACTTAAGTAGACACAACGTAAACCATAAAACAATGTACAAAATGTGAAATACTGAAGCTGGTTATTTCTTGTCTTCTACCTTCCTGAAAGAAGCTGGTGTTTTACTGCAATAATACTGAGCCAGAGAGAAGAGATCTTCTACATCTTCTAGATTCAAACTGGATGGAGTATTTTCCAAGAACTCTGAAAAAAGATTATAGATATGAGAACATTTTTAAAATTGTGATGAATACAATCATGAACATTATTTACATATCAAAGCTGGAGTATCTTCAACATAATAAAAACTACATAAATGGAATCTTAACAGCAATGCCTTTAAAACTGTTTGAGGAGAAGCAGAGTTCCCCAAAAGAGCTGAAACTGGTAATGCAATTCTGCTGTTAGTGTAAGATAGGTTCAGGCAATCAAATCAAATTCATTAGCCTTGATGGCAGTACTGTGATTTATTTAACAAACACATGTTAACTGCCAGGGCCCCTGGAGTTCCTGACCTAAGGAACTCTGTCTTGTGTGAGAAATGTAAAAATAAATCATTGTAATGTAGCAAGATAAAACACCACAATACAAACAGTACAAGGTGGCAGGCAATATAGAGAAGAAGTAACTTAATCTCTGTGAATGCTAGAATGGGGAGAACCCAAAAGAACCTAATTTCCACAATGGAAATAATTATGAAATCTGAGTATGCAAAGGTAAATTAAGGAAAAAGGAAGAAGAAAGGAAAGAGGGGAGAGAGAGGAGGGCATTTGATACGAACAATGAAACCAAAGTAACAGTATATGAAAGGAATTGAAAGAGTGAAAAAACATGGAAGAAATGAACAAGGATGCAAAATGGAAAGAAAATAGTCTTCAAGATTTGCAAAAAAAAAAAAAAAAAAGATTTGCACCTGCAGTGTGTATGAGTTGAATGAAACCTCAGAGTTCTGTAGACTAATCTCTTAAATTTATAGATGAAGAACCTGAGTTTTAGAAAATAAAGCGACTTGAAATATTTTCTCTACGTTAAGTGATACTTACGGATAACTTCTTCTTTGCTGCCTGACTCCTGTGCTAAAATAACTTCTCTGTAAAAAAGAAACAAATGGATTTGAGTTAAATATTAACAGAGCACCCTGAGAATAGAAAGGAGAAAAATCTAAGCAACTTGATACTTACTTTGTATTAACAAGGATTATTAACATTAAGAAATAAATAAAAAATGGATCTGCTTGTTGTAGATATCCATCCCACATTGCCTGAGTGACTTCAATGGAACAGTAACATGCAAAAAGGCTTCCAAGCTGTAATCAGGAAATGAAATGAGACATAAACCACTGGAAATGACCTGTTCTTTTAAAAGTATGAAAGCATATGTGTAAGTAACATTACATCAAATTATCTGCACCTGATACTTAATGTGTAGCTTAATTTTACTGTATGTAATGCAAAGGCAGAATATGTGGATTCAAGGCACAATGAAGCCACTTATTATCTGTGTGACTTAAGGCACATTACTTAACCTCTAAAGCTTCCATTTCTACTTCTTTAAAAAAAAAAAA